TGTGTGGTGTGGCCTTATAACCATTTTCACATCATTCCGGCAAGACAATTCCTGGAAATTTAAAAAAAAAACTGTAAAAGAGTTTGGCGCGGATAGCAATAAACAATAAATGACAAAAACTCCACTCCACCTACTCCCCGTAAAAAAAAAAAAAAAAAACAGGGAAGAGGATTAAATAGATACATGCTAGAACCTACGGAGCCAATGCTCTAGCAGGCACAAGGGATGAATTAAAGAAGCCCAGCAACGAAAAACTCTCATAACACAAAAACTGCCAATGGATTGGTGCAGGGATAAATGCAATTTCGGATCAAAAATTTTAAATCCTCATGACCAAAAGAAATCCAAAAATTTAAAAAAATCCAAAAACAAAAATCCTTAAATCTTTTTTTCCGATCAAAAACAGGTGGAACCTTTATTGTTTTGCCTTTGATACCGATGATCAATCCAACCAATGTGTTGGGAATTTCGAATTCATAAACTGGTTGCATTTCCTCAACACTGGCACTTGGTGGTACATCATCCGCTGGGCTCAGCGATGATGCCAAGCCCCCTGTTGCTCGTCCACTGTCTTGTGATGCCTACAAAACAAATTTCATTAGAAAATCGGTATACAGAAGACTACAAAAAAAAAAGAAATGATTGCTAAGGGCATAATGAAATTTGATTCAGAAATGCTTAATTGATTAATCAATTTTAAATTAAATTAATTCAAGTCAATTAACTGCCTGAGGCTACTCCTATCCGATGTTTGGGGGGAGCAAAAAAATAAGCATTTTTAAAACTTTGAACAAAAAATCTAAGTTTTTAATAAACATTTAGTAAAATACATAGTTATTAATTAAAAATAAAAAACAATACAAAATCAAAAATCTTAACACCCCTAATATTATATTCTTATAAACTATTTCAGTATAAAGTTAGAAGGAAAACCGAAAAAAAATGTCAAAAAAAAAAAAAATTTGTGAAGCAAAAATATTTGGACCAAAAAATATTTTTGTAAAATTATAACATCACTAACAAGAAATATTTGT